TAGCCTACTGTGAAGTGCAGTTGAAAAAAAAAAAAGTAGTGGTAATTACAGATTGTCAGTGTAAGTGCCACCAGTGTGAAAGGCCACTGGGAGCTGAAATCAGGCTTAAAGGGAGCTTGGGGAGCATTTAATTCCAGAGCTTGGCCGTCAGCTCAGAATCTACTCTTATTAGTATGAGCTGTGGTATTTCTAAAATTGCATTTAAATAAATAGAGCAAACCAAAATGGCATTTATACTTAAAGGAGACAGCAGGAGAAAGTAGCTAATAGGCACCAGCATAGACTGGGCATTCAGTATGTGGTGGAAGGAGCTGTTTGCGATCCTTTTTTAGTGTTTTCTATCATGTTAGTTCTGTCTCTGAATTCGCCTGGGCTCTGTTCTTGTACACTAACCCCAATTGTGCTCCAGGGTGTTCCTGCAGTTGTAGCGTAAAGGATGACCTCTTGTATCCAGCACCTTTTTGCATGGGTGGAGTGGAGAGCAGCTCTCCGTGAACCTTCAGCTTGTGCTTCTCCATGCTGCTTCCTCTCAACGCTCTTCTCTCTTTGGCGCTGCCTAACTCTGACTCTGGCTGTTCGTGGGGTTTTCCTTTGTGCTTGATCTAACCATGTGGTGGAACAATACAAATTGAACATGGTTCTGTCAAGCACCATGGAAGGCTGCATACTCCCTGCCGCATGGCATGCTGGGATACTTCTGCTGTTTTCAGAAGCATCAAAAGGTGAGAGATTCCCCTTTTCTCACAGGAAAAATGAAAAAGGTGAAGTGTTGCTTAACCAGGCTCCCAGGCACTGAAGGGGGGGAGCCCTAGTGATGTTTGCGACAGACTTTCCGGAGGGCTTGCATGCAGAATAACCATTTCTAAGTAATTAATCTGTTTAATTGCTCTTAGAATTAAGAAGTTAGGCATCTTGTTAATTAATATGATTCAAGGGTGATTCCAGCCATACCTACAGAGACGAAAAATCATTTTTGTCTTCTTACCTTAAAAATACTGTAAGCTACATCTGTTTATGTGATCTGTCCAGTTAGTCCTTCTACTTGACGTGCACTTTGGATGCTGTTGCTTGAAAAAGATGCCAGCTACTTAATGTAACTTTGGGCCCAATCTGAGCAATCCTCATGTGCTGGCATTTCCTTATGAGGTGTACTGCAAAAGAGCTACAGAAGAGTCTGCAAAGCGTTAGCATTTATCTCTTGAAATACCCGTGTGGGTAGCATGGCCTGGATGAAAACAGTATTGTCCAGTAGTTACGTAACACACAGGTGAGTCAGCACACCCAGACGGGCCACTTTAGGTTTGACAGTTTAGGTAAGATCTTTAACATACTTCTGCCTAACTTCCCCCCTATGGAAAGTAGAGATAATGACACCTATTCATAAAGGAGTTTGAGGGCCTGGTACAGAAGTTTTCTCATACGGGAATACTGCCTCATCTTGCAAATTTGTGCCATATCTATTGTGGAGCCATCAGAAGGAGGACATCTGAGATTCCTAGATTTTGTCTGCAGTTACTGATAAGAATTAATACTAGCGACGTGAGATTATGACAAACAACGTACTTCCTTTTTTTCCTGAAAACCTATGAGAATTGCAATCTAGTGGTTACGTGAAGAAATGAGTGTCAGGATTACTGTTTTTTTTGTCCAAGTTTTAGACCAAGTGATCTCTGTGATCATATTTTTGATGCCAAATTTGAGGCAGCTGGATCCATCTTTTCTAGAATGAATATATCAGGTCAGTATTTAAGCCCCTATTGAGACAACTTGATTTTTTCCGGAACAGATCATCCAGCACTCTTTGTAAGCTTAATTTTAAACACTGAAATCAGTTTTGCTGAGCAGAGCTTAAAAAGACTAGAACAAAAACGTATTTGTTTCTATTGCTCAATTTCTCCATGTGGATATTAGAAAGGCACCTCAAATTTTTGAGTGCTTGGAAATGTGTTGTTTCTTTATCTCAATAATGCTGTTCTGTTGAATGGCATTTGCATCTGCTTTATGATACTGAGGAATTGCAATGGGTATCCGATAGTGGTGCCATGCAGGTTGTGAAATGAAAATGTTCTCAGAGTAACTAGCAATTCAGATAAACACAGTTGCCCTCAGTTAAATACAGGCCTTATTGTTGCCTTCACTACTCATTTTACAGCAAACTTCGTTTCTTTTTAATTTTGGAAATTACTAGAAACTCCCGGGTCATGTTTTACATTCAGCCAAGCTCAGAGTTCTCAGCTATGGTGCACACATGCTTTCAGGTATAATAAAATGACCAAACAGCTGGTCTGGAATAGTAAAATGAAGCCAAGTGTTTCTTTTGTGCATGTCTAGCATCCTTTTTCCATAGCTTTCCACAGGTGATTTTATCGTGTGCAAGAAGTACCTCACACGTGTGACGGTTAACTGTATCTCCTGAATCCTGCCGGGTTCCTGCGGAGCCCTGCAGCAGTACACTGATAAAGCCCTGTGTGGAGAAATGGATATACACACTTGAATAGTGCTGCAAGCAGATGGCTGCTTTTCACATTCGTATCCCAGATGGGAATATCTTAAGAGAGCAGCCACCTGTCCAAGTGATCTCAAGGCTCAGGTCAAATAGTAAATTTTATCTAGTCTGTGGCAGGGAATAGTCTAACGGGTGACTGAGCACTTGTTGAGCATATACATGCTATTGATCAGTTTTGACTCTCTGCTTACCTGGGCAACTCTTATTTAAACTCAGTTGAAGGGAAAAAAAAGGAAAAGAAAAAAGAGAGAAGGAAAGAAAAGTATGAAGGCAATGTTTGCTCCCTTCCTCTCCTGCTGAGCTGAGAGAGCTTTCCCCTCTTGCAAGCGTGGAGGCGGTGGGCTGATGCCTAGACAAGATCAACTTCTAGTTGATGCAGCATGGAAAATTGTATGCCATCAAGAGAGTGCGACTGCTAAGTCAAAATGTGGTAAATATTCTTTATTTACTTTGCCAGAAAGCTTGAAAGAAAACCAAAACCTGATTTTCACCCTCTACCACTACATGCACCTTTTTCTCCTTCGTAAAGTGTTCGACTTACTTTCCCATCCTTCTTTTTTTCCGTAGGAAGATGAATCTTGTATCCATCAGTAGACTAAATATTATACTTAATAAATTTTTACCCTGTGTAACTCATGACGTTTGTGATTATTCTTTCAAAGAAAGCTTTTACAATGAAAATTAGAAGTGCTTCTTCATGGGTTAATTTGTGAATTTCTAAGACACTTTCTGATCACTGAAAAATTTTGGTGGGTTTTTCAAGACGTACTGTAATTGTAACAGTTTAATAAACTCTGGTCCTGATAACTGTTCATCTTTGCCATTATTTCCAAAGAATCATAAGCAATCTAATGTACTGTCTCCCAGACCTAAGAAAGAATAACTATGTTCTGTAATCAAGCCATAATACACTCCTCACTTGACCTTTTAACCAACTTTCAAGCCTGGAATTTTGAGGACTGGAAATCAGACAGGGTTTTTTGAAAGGATAAGAGTTTAAATGGTGGTGGTGCGGGGAAAGGCTTAGACTGTATTTTCATTATATTTTAAGATGCCCAGTGGTCCTAATAGTTTAAGTGCTGTGCTGTCAAGCTAAAAAACAGTAGCAAAGTCTCACTTTAGATGTATAATTTACAATAAGCATGATAACCTGCAAAGTATTTAGCACCACAGAAGTGGTAATATACAAAGCTGTATGTGATGTTTCTCATAATCTAGTTTGGAATTACAAAACTAACCCAGAGTGTGTCTGTTAGATCGCCTGCAGAATTGCTTGCTTTCACTGCATCACCCTATGGAGGTAATATGTAACATAAATTAAAATAATAGTGGGTTTAGATGACTTTTTTTCTTACAGAAAGTAGTATGTGGTCATAAAATGAGCAGTGGTGTGTTTGTCAGTCTGGGAAGGGGAAGCAGGTGATGAATGTCACCAAGTCTCTAAAAACAAATTTCAGCTCAGGTTTAAGTTTTTATTGATGTTTTAAGGTTCTTAAAAACTGAACTTGCTCAGATCGTTCCTGAGAAGGCCGTGCAATTTGCTTTTAAAACTCTGGAAAAGTTAAAAAATACTTCTTGGTAGTTACAATCACTGGGCATTGCACAAGGTTCCTGAGACAATTCTGGTGCTTCCATTATGAAATATGAAGTGAGTGGGCAGGTATTGAATGGTGGGGTCTTGGCAACACTTTGCTTACATACACATTTATTAATACTCCTGGTTCCCTGAAGCACAGAGATCAAGTTTCCAACCTGCTGTTATTAAAGGAGGAAAACCAAACCTGAAAAGGACAGATTAGTTCACTGAGTCTAATTGGAAAAGCATTTCATTAGAACGGGTCAAAAACCTAGTCAAAGAGGTCTGGTAATCATGGTGTAATGGTACATCAGGGAGTGCTTCTCACTAAGTACGGTATACCCGTTCCTTAATTAAAATGAAAATGATTTAAACTGCTATTACTTTCCTTTGCTGTTTGTTTAACAGAGTTAATAAAGGTATCTAATTGTTGGAAAATTGACAAAGTTCTGTTATAAAAGGTTGCTCTCAAAAATTAATAGCTGAGGTCTGAAAATTTAGGGCTTTTTAATGACATCTTTTAAAATCCTTTGTCATTTGAATGCACCAGGATAGCTCCTGCTTTCATGACATCTCTTTTCCTTGTTGCTGGACTAAGTTCCAAATGGGAAAAAGTGACTTTGCTGGAGCTCGTTTGAAGCAGACTCCCAACAGCTAATTAGACGTGCTTCAAAAAATACCTTCACAGGTAGGCTTGTTGGACAAGGAATTAATCTGTCAAGGGAAGAGTGAAAAAACAGAGGCTAGTCTTGGGAGTAATTTGAAAAATTGCTGAACAAAAATCTTTGGCAAGTATTAAAATTGTGTGCAGGAGCTGGGAGTTGACAGGAGGCGGTGTTGAGAACAGATTCCATAAAATCTCTGATTGCTGCAGTTATCAAGAACAATTTGCTGGATTATATTTTCCTTTTATTGCAGGGTCAGAGGATTACAGAAGTAAATTCACCGGGAAGTGTTTCATGGACCTTGTCTGTCCTGAGAAGTGTCGCTGCGAGGGAACAATTGTAGACTGCTCTAACCAAAAACTTACCCGATTACCCAGCCACCTTCCTGAATATACTACTGATCTGTAAGTGCTGGCTCTCCGTGATGCGCTCAGCAGGGTGTGCTAGTTTTCCTGGTTTTTAGAGGCTGTGAAAGGGACTCAGACCAATTCAAGGCACCTTCTACTTTAATCCCTGTGTGAAAAAGGAGAAGGTAATTTTATTTCAAAGGAGCACCACAACTCTTTTTATTTCTTTAGAATTCGTGCCAACTGTGGGAATGAGAAAGGAGCCATGGCCCTATGCGTTAGCTGCCTGTGTGTCTTCTTGAAGTGTTGACCTGTGATGTGGCCCAAGCTGGATGGTTCCTTTTCATTCTACATTTGAGTCCTTTGTCTTTGCATCTGGTTATTTTTATTTAAGAACTGGATTAACCCTTTTGAGTTAAATCTGTGATCAGGAACTCATTCCATCTCGGCAGTGCCTGCTACTTGGGTGAAATGGCTATCACTAAAACTAATGCATTGTTAAGCTGTAAGTGATTTTATGAAATTTATTTGCTTTTAGAAATTCTTCAGAATTACAAACATAATATACTGCTAATGAGAATATGAGAAAACATGTTTATTACTTAGTAACTGAAGAATCTGATTCTTTTGTGATGTTACTAGCCCATTCAAACACACTTCTTTTTGTGTTAGTATTCTATTTATTGTACTTAAGGTATTCTATTTAAACTGCCATAAAAATTGTTGGTTTGAAGTTAAGATAGAAAAACATGAGAGAGAGACATCCAGAAACATAGAAAAGTCTTTACGTAGAAAAATTGAGCTATGTGTAATCAGAGAAAGAATTTTGCATCCCAAGCCTGCCAAGAGAGTGGCTTTTGCATTAATTTTGAAGACGAGCAGACTTTGATGGGAAAGAACCTCAAATCAGATCCCTTCTGTTTACATGGACCACATCCCCAATTGTTTGCCTTCTATAGCAGGATGCGTGAGGGATGTTCAGTCACGCAAACAAAGCTGTGTAATGGTTAAGGTTCATAATTCCTTATCCTGTGCAGTGGAAGGAGGCAGCATTCTCACATGGTCCTTTGGCATTACACTCTTAAAGGCATCCTAAGCTTTTACTATAAACACTCTTCTGTGTTTCCTTTCTTTCAAAGCTAAACTCTTTTCACTCTAGGAGTCTGAGAGAGATGGCAGATAGTGTCTTGCTTAACAATGGTCATAGTTCTCTGTGTGGCAGCCCTGTATGTCACGGAGATATATCTATAAACATATGTGAAGTATTAAATGTGTCTTTGTTTGTTCCTATCAGGCGTTTGAATGACAATGATATTTCTGTTTTGGAAGCTATTGGACTCTTCAAGAAATTGCCCAACCTCAGAAAAATGTAAGTTTGAGTCACTTGCTTGCTAGCATACATGTTGCCTTGGAAGGAAGAAGGAAGGGATGATTATTTTATAGTTTAGTACTGCACTAGCAGAAATTGCTTTTTTAATGTGAATTTAAGGAATTTGAATGAGTTGCCTATTAGATGGACAGGCCCAGTTAAACCACAGTGACAGATGATGAACCCTATGCTGAAATGACATAATTCTTTAGGCAATATTTCTGAAAGTCTTCAACTCATGAAGGCTGAAGGGAATTCTGTCCTAGAATTTATTCAGATGTATTATTATTATTAGAGATGGCTACAAAGTTTAGCGTTTTGGTTTTGTCTTTTGAATGTATTACGTGACTTCAACGAGTGTGATTGTTTTAAATAGTCAAAGGAAAATAATAGTACAAGATATGGATGATGGCAGCTTCTTTTGATCATTATTGTTTTAGAGAGGACAATCAATTAGCTAATTTAGAGATGAGTCATTCAAATATATCCATATAATTATGTTAACAGCCTGAGTCCTGGCACTGTACAATGTATACATTTAATAACAGCTATGTTTTGGAAAGAGGATAATATGTTAGATACCTCCTGATAGTCTTCTAACTGGATCTTTCTGAAATTATTTAAAGTTTTAACCCTATGGCCCCATTGCTAATGCTTCATCTAACTGTTTACTTTTAGGAAGATTTTATTGCTCAAGTCAAGGTAATTTAGGGAAACCAACCAACCAGTCTTTTTTTCTGCATTCATTTCACATGGTTTCTGCCATCTGGAGCTTCCTAGCCATTTGAATCCATGTAAGATCTCAGGGGCTTTGGAGACAACTGTAGTGGAATTCTTATGAGAGTTTTATTTCTGCAAGAGTTTCAGATGTAGCACTGCAGGTTTGGGACTGGGGGTTGTATTTGTGCAAGTACAGGCCACCAGACTGGGAGAATTAATCATATACATTAGCCTCATATTTTATAAATGATCTGTAAGTTGTAGCTACAGTACACTTAGAAAAAGTTGTTAACATTGTTGAAGTGTGCTGTTGCCTGTCTATGTAGAGAGTAAATGGGAATGAAAAATGCATGGTATGTGAAAGTATACACAAATTGGAAAGTATCTGTCCTCATCAAACCTTCAGAATTAATGTTTTGAAAATTGGAGAGATGTGATAACTGGAATAATTTCTTTCATTTTATTTAAAACTTACCGTAGGCAAGTTATGGTGCTGTCCTTCCTGTTCCCGTCAATCACTCAAGTGGGAGGGATGCCTCGGAAGAGCTGTATTATTACTCTTAAATGCAACATAAAACAGTTATGTGCATTTTTTTAAGGGTTTGTTTCCTGTGAAACAAAAAATCTTTCTGCTCTGTTCTTGGTAGGCAGTAAGAACTGAGGTGTAGAGGTGCATTTCAAACAGATGGCAGAAAGAATTGGTGCCCTACACCTCATAAAAAGTGTCTCTCATATGGATTTTTAGTGGCAGCCTCCAGGCTGAGGCTCTTTAGGTAATCCTTGTAGTTGAGATACTTTACAACATTAGGTAGAACAAAATAAATTACCTCAATCTGAATAGAGGGATTTTCTGAAAAAGATGGGGTTTTTTGTATAAGCAGAGCAACATTTCAGCCATAACCTTAGTAGCTTGATCCTTAAAAAGCCAGATTAGGCTTCTCTTTCTAATTCTCCTGGTTCCATTTTGTGAAGGGAAGAGGTTACCAGGAAAAAACAAACAAGCAAACAAACACCCCTTTCCTTCGATGTCATTATTTGGCCTTTACTAAGTATCCTTCTGCTAATAATAGGCCTCTCTCCATCATGTAAGAAGGTA